AGGTGTGTTAGTGTAGTATTAGCTCAATATTTCTGCTAGAATTGTTTGGATCAGTTCTTAAGTACCAGACAAGTAAGTGTAGTAAATCTCTGTATGTATATACATAAAATACATATATATATATATATATATAAAATACATATATATATAAAATACATATATATATATATATATATATATATAAAATACATATATATATATATAAAATACATATATATATATATATATATATAAAATACATATATATATATATAAAATACATATATATATATATATATATATATATATATATATATATATATATAAAATATATATATATATATAAAATACGTACATATATATATATATATATATATATATATATATATATAAAATACACACACATATATATATATATATATATATATATATATATATATATATATATATATATATATATATATACACATATGCTAAAACTGAAACCATATATTGTGCAGTCCTAATTTAGTCCTAATTTAGTATTATGTCTTATTATTCATTCATTCCTCTTTAGCTTAGTCCCGTCTTTATTAGGGGTTGCCACAGCGGAATGAACCGCCAACTATTCTAGCATATGTTTTATGCAGCGAATACCCTTCCAGCTGCAACCCAGTATTGGGAAACACTAATACACTTATTCACACACACACACACATACACTACGGACAATTTTATTTACCCAATTCACTTACAGCACATGTCTTTTGACTGTGGGGGAAACCAGAGCACCCGGAGGAAACCCACGTGAACATAGGGAGAACATGCAAACTCCACACAGAAATGCCATCTGACCCAGCCGGGGCTTAAATCAGCAACCTTCTTGCTGTTTGGCTACAGTGCTGACCACTGAGCCACCGTGCCACCCTTGTGTTTTATAATCATGTAATCATGACTGTGTGTTCCAGGTGTGTTTCCGGAGCCGGAGGTCGACCCTGTGATTCAGATCGCCTCTATGGTGCAGCGTCAGGGAGAGAAGGAACCGTTTATTCGGACAGTCTTCACCTTGCAGAGCTGTGCCAGTATAGTGGGCTCTCAGATTCTCTGCTTCACCCAGGAGAAACTAATGCTGCAGGTGCACCATCACAGATTCTCACTGCTACTCTTAAAGGGACAGTTCATCCAAAAATGAAAATTCATCATTTACTCACCCTTTACTTGTTCCAAACCAGTTTGTGTTTCTTTCTTCTGTTGGACACAAAAGGAGATAGTTTCAAAAAATGCCACTCATTGACTTCCATGGTATTTAAATTGGTAAGTAAATTGCTACCAACCTTCTTTATCATATTTTGCATTCAACTGAAGAAAGAATCTCATCAAGGTTTAAAAGCACTTGAGGGAGAGTAAATTTTGAGGTAATTTTAATTTTGGGGTGAACCATGCCTTTAAGGCTATGATGTAATCATCATTCTTTAATTGTTTTGTTTAGGTGTAAAAATAAGTTGGAAATGTATTTTCTGAAGTAAATCATTGACAGATTGAGAGCCATGTATGGATTTACATGTAAATATGCGATAATAAAATAAACAAGACCAAAAATATAGAGAGAGAAAACAGCAGTTAAGAAAGCATCTGCAACTGAGAAAAGTATAAATCACTTCACTTTTGGGTAATATTTATATTAATATATGTATTTATTATGTGGGAAACAGTGTCAGTGTTGCTTTAATTTAAACTTACATTCACTTTATACTATAAAGCTGCTTTTCCTTGATGGACTAAGGAGGAGTGAGTTAAAAGTTTGTATGGGTGAATGAAAATTTAAAGCTGTTTTAACTTTTACAGAAAATACACAGGAGAATGCTTTGAAATTAACTTTTTGTCCTGATTTAATATGAAATCATCAGTATTTTTTCCAACTTTCAAAATAATGTTACCTTTAAAAGAAAATTTGTCTTTAATGAAAATACAGATGGAGATAACAAAAAAAAAAACCTTTAGTGCTTGACTCATGTTTTTGTGACTTGTCAGGACACAAGCTTATATAATGACATGGTTATGCGACAGGTATTGAAGGTGACTTATGAGGACACATCCCTATTTTTTCCAAACGACTTGAAAATACAGAAAGAGTTTATTATTATTTTATTTTAATTTTCCTATTTTTTTTTTTTTTGGGTTTAAAGATAGGGCGATAGAAAAGGCAGTTTGTACGGTATAAAATAAATGGAAACCTATGGGATGTCCGCACAGTTCACAAAATCAGACCTGTGTGTGTGTTTATAATTAATAAAATGTATATGTGTGATTAATAGAGTTGGGCTGAGTTCATGAGGACTGTGGACCCTGACATCATCACTGGCTACAATATCCAAAACTTTGACCTTCCATATCTCCTCAACAGAGCTGCAACCTTAAAGGTAATTCTATCTTTTACACAAAAACAGTACATATTACAGGACTTATTTTTCACCAATATTTAGGGTCTAAATTTTAAATACTTTATATTGAGCAGTTGACAATTTCTGAAAATAAATAATGTACATGAAAAATATTTTTAAAGACACTTTATTAAAAGTTTTATTTATTAAATTTTATTTAAACGGGACCTATTATGCAAAAATCACTTTTATAAGAGGTTTAAACGCATTTAAAGCTCCGCCCTGTTTTGAAAGGAGCACAATCTCATTTGAATTTAAAGCAACAGTCACAAAAACAGCACAGTTAGGGTCAAAGGCTAAGGCCTGTGTTTATGGGGTGTTTTGAGATGAAGCTTCACATACACACTCTAGGAATTTCAGTGACTTATTTTACATTTTGTTAAAAGGGACATAGTAGGTCATCTTTAAAATAAGCAACTACTAATCAGTCCCTTCATTTGATTAATAGCCAATCCAGCGAATTAATAAAGACTTGGAAGTGGTCTCTTAAAGCGTTTTAGTTTCAGAGAAGGCTGATCAATAATGATGTACTTGGGCCACTCATGTCTGTTTTCATAGGTGAATATGTTCCCGTATCTGGGCCGTGTGTGGGGCTGTAAATCAGTTCTGAAGGACTCCAGCTTCCAGAGCAAGCAGATGGGCCGCAGAGAGAACAAAACCATCAATATGGAGGGACGTGTGCAGTTTGACCTGCTGCAGGTGCGCATCTAAACTCACTTCCTTCAGATCCGCTCATGCTAAGACTTACAGTTTTTTCTGTGTTCTGCAGGTGCTGCTCAGGGATTACAAACTGCGCTCTTACACACTAAACGCCGTCAGTTTCCATTTTCTGCAGGAGCAGAAGGAGGATGTGCAGCATTCGATCATCACAGACCTACAGGTGCAGACAATCACATTTCTGTCCTATATACACTCACACAGTGGGTGCAGAAAGCATTCAGACCTCCTTAATTTTTTCTTTGTTATATTGCAGCCATTTACTAAAATCATTTAAGTTCAATAATTATTTTCCTCATTAATGTACACACAGCACCCCATATTAGTGATGGGTCGTTCATGAACGATTCGTTCATTATGAACAAATCTTCAATATGACTCGGGAACTATGAGTCCTCTTAGGGAGTGATTCGTTCATCCGCGCGTGCGCACATTTGTTCAGGTATCGTTAATTTCAAGTCTTCATCACATTAGCAGAAGCCAATCATATGCATTTAGAGCCGGAAAAAGAATTTATCCGCTCACCTCTCGTCCCCTATCGCGTCTGAGTCATTCGTTCCTCACGGGCCAATCATACGCGCTTAGAGCCGGAAAAAGAATTAATCCGTTCATCTCTCGAGTCATCTATCGGGTCATGTCACTCGTTCCTCACTGGCCAATCATACACGTTTAGAACCGGAAAAAGAATTGAACCGTTCATCTCTCAAGTCCTTGGGTTTGAGTCATTCTCTCACGTGATGAACGAACGATCATGGCTCCAATCAGCTTATACTGTGCATTGGTTAAGATTATATGTGATTGTCAGTGTAACGTAAATGAACCCGTGACATTTAAAGACATGAAGAGGTGAGCTGAGCAAAGAGACAACAATACCTTCATAGAGAAAAGAGCAGGTAAACATTGAGTTATTATTTTCTCCTTCTTATATTCTATTTATGACTTATTTGTCGTGCAATCAACCTTTTGAGCTGTGTTTGGAAGCAATTCGTAACGTTTTAATAATATTTTGACAAATTGAACCAAATGAACGAAATGACTCGAAAAAAGATTTGTTCATCTTGATGAACGAGACTCAAAGATCCGAGTCAGTAAAATGATCCGAACTTCCCATCACTACCCCATATTGACAGAAAAACACAGAATTGTTGACATTTGTGCAGGTTTATTAAAAAAGAAAAACCGAAATATCACATTGTCCTAAGTATTCAGACCCTTTGCTCAGTAATTAGTAGAAGCCTCCTTTTGATCTAGTACAGTCATGAGTCTTAAAAAAGATGCGACAAGTTTCTTCACATCTGGATTTGGGGATTTTCTGCTGTTCTTCTTGTAGATCTCTTTTAAAATGAATATATTTTCTGTGGGATACTTTATAATAATGTATGTGTGCTTTAACAGTTGATTAGTCAGTACTGGAGCTAACAAAAACACTTACGATAACGGTCCAAAGATTTGTACTCCCTAATCTATAAGTTAGGGAAAATCTTACATAGCAATGTAAAAAAAAAAAAAAAGGAAAAATTGAGAGAAACCAAAATACCACAAATTTAAGCTGAAATTTTGTAGTTTGTAATTTATTTAGCAATATTTGACTTAAATTAATTTTAAATCTTTCTTTTTCTAAAACTGTTTGGTAACTAAAATGCTATTTAAAAAAATGTCTGTTTGATAAATCGACTTTGTTCAAATGCACCAAAGTATACAGCCTGGGAAATTTATAAAAATATCTTCATTTATTAAAATGGGGTGTATTCATTTATGCTATATATACAGTATATAAACACATTTGCATGTTTCATAAAATATTTTAATATTGAATAATACTTTATTCAAATATATTTCATATCTCCATTTGATTTATTCAATGATTCAATAGCCCTTTTCACAAAGCGATACCGGTAAATATCCGGAAAATTACTGCAACGACTTTACCGGTTAAGTGCTGTTTACACAGGCAAGAACGTTACGAGATATTTCCAGAAAAGACCGTTTACACAACCATTCCAAAATACCAGTAAATTCTGACATCATTAAACAAAAGTGACCTCTAAACGGCTGCGCTTGTATTTGTAAACATTTGACTACATTACAAACCCTGTGGATGGATAAGTATTGTGAACAACTTCGATAAAAACATATTGAGGAACACTTTCGCATATCGAGATGTACATAATATGTGTGTGTGTGTGTGCTGGTGCTCACCGGCTGCTTCACGTGCACACACGTCAAGCAACTGAAGGAAGCAGAGCTTGAAGGTAAAAAAAACAGCATTTCATCATTAGCATTTTATCGAAATTTTTTTCCAGAGTTGAAATTAAGAAGGAACATGGAAATGTTATCTGACTAACATCTAGCAGCAAAATTTGTCAGGAAAAATGCTTTTATATAAAGAGTGCAAAGGTGATTGTGTCTGAATGTTCTGAGTAGACATCTCATATAAGCGTGTTCTAGATGTGAACTCGCTCTTTCCGGCAATATTTCTTCTGCGCTCTCACAGAGCAGCATTCTGGTAAATTACTAGTAATGTTACAACTTCTCTTTCTGGAAAATAGCCGGAATGAATTTACCACTATTTTCAAAAAGGGCCTGTTCACACATACAGACCTTTCCGGAAAATTAATTTAAATGGTAAATTTCCGGAAAGGTCTGTATGTGTGAAAGGGGCTATTGACTCCCTCATAAAGACTTTGCATCATTCATTACTGGATGTATCAGCATTTTTCAAAAATCACTTGAATCAATTATTTAATCACATAACATTTTTTAATTGCTTACAGGTCACAGATGTTTTAGCAAAATACATTTATACATTTCATTTGAAGTGTCAAGTTGCTTTTAAGAGGTGATTTTGATAATGTTGCTTTTATGCCAGTACTTAATCTGAATGAATGAACTGATAATCTGAATTTTGAATTAAAGATCCCGTGAAATTAAAATAAAAATTTTTAGATGCACGTTTTTAAGATATCTATTAGCTAGTGTGCTCCAAAACAATGATTAAATTTGCGTTTAGAAAATGCAAAACCGATTTATACATGTAAAGCTTGCAGTTTGTCACTTCCGCCAAAATGGATCAAGTATTTTTTTTTACATCACCTCATACCTCAGATTCTCATCAAATCTTGACCAATCAAATGCTCTCTAGTATCTGACATGCCCCGCCCCCTTCAAGATGCTTTTCTTTTGATTTTCATTTAGTGCGCTTGAGCTCAACCACTTTCACTGGCAGAGCAGTGATAAAACAAAATCTATTGGCTGTTTTTAAAGGGGAGGAGCTACTTGATGTCCCACCCTCTTAATTTTTTTTTAGCTGAGATTATGCCAATGTGCTTTTAATTTGATAATGTGTTTTTGCAGGATAATGTATAGGTCATAGAAGAGTGACAAAGGTTTTAATTATTTTATTATCTGTTAATTTGAAAAACCTTGTTAAATTTAACTCCTTTGTTTTTCTTTTTTGCTTGATTTATTTATTTTTTACTTTTGTATTATTGTAATTATGCCATAAAGATATATTTGAATGATAACATGCAGTTAACTAACTTGCCTGCCTCTCTTGATTGTTGTTTAGAATGGGAATGAGCAGACACGCAGGCGTTTGGCCGTATACTGTCTGAAGGATGCGTATCTGCCCCTGCGTTTGCTGCAGAAGTTGATGTGTGTCATTAACTACATGGAAATGGCCAGAGTCACCGGAGTTCCCCTGACGTACCTGCTTTCTCGCGGACAGCAGATTAAAGTGGTTTCACAGCTCCTCAGACAGGTCTGCTCTGGTAACTCTGTAGCATGGTAATGTGACAAACGTAGCCGATGGTTTGCTTTAATATGTCTTTTGTGGCTTGGTTATTGTTTTATATGAAGGCTATGAAGCAGGATCTGGTGATGCCGGTGGTGAAGACTGAGGGAGGGGAGGACTACACCGGAGCCACTGTCATTGAACCAGAGAAAGGGTTTGTGCGCTCTACTTTGGTGATCGGAATAAATACAAAAATTGTGAAAACATTCTTGACAGGAAGCTTTTATCTAAAAGTGTACCATATACTACTGAAGCTGTGGCACAAAAATCATTTGAAAAATCGTTCCTGCATTAATTTTGCTCTTGGCTTTTAACAGCAGATGGCCTTTAAGGCTGGTTTTTAAACTGCAGATGGTGCTCTGGGTTAGTGTTTAACTGCAGATGGCATTCTATGCTAGTTTTTAAAGCCTGGTTTATACTTCTGCATCAAGTGACCGGTGTAACCCACAGCGCATGCAACGCGCGCAGCTGTGCATTTATACTTCTGCGCGCTGTCTCTGTCAGTCTGCATTAACACTTCCGAAACGCTAGTTGGCAGTGAGGTGTAAATGTTCCTCTGTGTCGAGTTTCTTCGCTGTTGTTTTGCTTTTCCTGAACACTTCCGGGATGTACAAGTGGCTCAAACTCGCTCATTTTGAGGCAGGAACCGGCGGACGTGAAACAACTTTAACTATGAGGTAAACACAAAACAAAACTTTCCATCCGGAGCTCCTTCACGGGACTCCACACTAGTAAACAATCGCTCCATCAGGCTCGTACCATTCACGCGGCTCTTGGTCCCGCCCAGACTCGTCAGTGCTACCAAGCTGACCAATCACAGAGCTTGCGCTACGCATCGTTGCAACGTGTAGTTACATTTTTTTAGAGGGGCACGTCAGCGACGCCGACGGCCATGGCGAAGGTCTATGCGTCAGCGCTGTAGCATACGCCGGCGTTTGACGCAGAAGTATAAATCAGCCTTAACAGCAAATGGTACTTTAGGCTCGTTTTTTAAAAGCAAATGGCGCTCTAGGCTAGTTTTTAACAGCAGATGGTCCTCTAGGCTAGTTTTTTTTTACAGCAAATAATGCTAGTTATTTATATGCTAGTTAAATGCTAGTTATTTATATAGGCTAGTTATATATTCTAGTTATATAGGCTAGGTTTTTATATGCTGGTTTAATGCTAGTTATTTATATAGGTTAGTTAAAGGCTAGTTATATAGGCTAGTTATTTATATGCTAGTTTAATGCTAGTTGTTTACATAGTTAGTTATATAGGCTAGTTTTAACAGCATTTGGTGCTCTAGGCTAGTTTTGACAACAGATGATTTTTAACAGCAGATGGTCCTCTAGGCTAGTTTCTAACAGCAAATGGTCCTTTAGGCTAGTTTTTTTACAGCAAATAATGCTAGTTATTTATATGCTAGTTAAATGCTAGTTATTTATATAGGCTAGTTATATATTCTAGTTATATAGGCTAGGTTTTTATATGCTGGTTTAATGCTAGTTATTTATATAGGTTAGTTAAAGGCTAGTTATATAGGCTAGTTATTTATATGCTGGTTTAATGCTAGTTGTTTATATAGTTAGTTATATAGGCTAGTTTTAACAGCATTTGGTGCTCTAGGCTAGTTTTGACAACAGATGATTTTTAACAGCAGATGGTCCTCTAGGCTAGTTTTTAACAGCAGATGTTCCTCTAGGCTAGTTTCTAACAGCAGATGGTCCTCTAGGCTAGTTTTTTACAGCAAATAATGCTAGTTATTTATATGCTAGTTGTTTATATAGTTAGTTATGTATTCTAGTTATATAGGCTAATTGTATAGGGTAGTTATTTATATGCTAGTTTAATGCTAGTTATTTATATAGTTAGTTATATAGGCTAGTTATTTATATGCTAGTTTAATGCTAGTTATTTATACAGTTAGTTATATAGGCTAGTTTTAGGCTAGTTTTTAACAGCATTTGGTGCTCTATGCTAGTTTTGACAACAGATGATTTTAACAGCAGATTTTAGGCTAGATTTTAAACTGCAGATGGCACTCTAAGACACACTACCCAATTATTAAATTGAAGTGAGATGCATTAAATTCACAATTTAATCACAATTCAGAGATTTTAATTAAATTGTTCTCCTGAATTGTCTATTCATCAAATAATTCTGATTTTATGTAAGAGTTTTCAATATTATGTTTTGTTGTGTTTTCTCAATACAAGTTTAATAATCACCATGTACTGCATCATTTAATTTAGTATGTGACTCACAAGTTCTGAAATGGTTTGTTTGTGTTTACAGGTATTACAGTGTTCCTATAGCAACTCTGGATTTCTCCTCTCTGTATCCCTCCATCATGATGGCTCATAACTTATGTTACACTACACTCCTGCAGAAGAGCCAGATTGAAAAACTGGGGTAAGAGTGTGTGTGCATTTTCTAAAGTGTTCAGATACTTTGTTTAAAGTGGTAGTTCACCGCCAAAAAATATAATTTATTTACTTTTTACTCACCCTCAAGTTGTTTTAAATATTTGTTTCTTCTTCTGTTGAACACAAATGCAGATATTTTGAGAAATGTTGGGAACCAGTAGCCTTTATCTTCCATATTAGGAAAAATGGAAGTCAACGGCTACTAGTTTCAAAATATTTTCTTTTGTGTTCAACAGAAGAAAGAAACTTAATTTTGGAGCAAGTGGAGGATGAGGAAATGATGACAATCTTTGAGTGAACTATCCTTTTCAGTGTAAAATTGTATCCATTTTAGTGGTAATGTACTCTGCATTTTTGTGTGTGTTTAGTTTGGGTCCAGATGATTTTATCAAGACCCCCACCGGTGATTTGTTTGTAAAGAGCTCAGTGAGAAAAGGTCTTCTCCCTGAGATCCTGGAAAACCTGCTGAGCGCCAGGAAAAGGTGATCCTTTTAACAATTCTAAAATAATAAGTGTATATAAAGGGTTAGTTTAACAACAACAACAACAACAACAAAGAATCTGCCCATACATATACAGTTGAAGTCAGAATTATTATCCCTCCTGAAATATTAGCCCCCCTTGTATATTTTCCCCCCAGTTTCTGTTAATGAAAAGTTTTTTTTTCTACACATTTGTAAATAAATTAGTTTTAAAAACTCATTTCTAATAATTGATTTCTATTATCTTTGTCAAAATTACAGGACATTATGTTTTACTAGATATTTTTCAAGACACTAGTATTCAGCTTAAAGTGTCATTTAAAGGCTTAACTAGGCAGGTTAGGTTAATTAGGCAAGTCATTGTATAACGATGGTTTGTTTTTAGACAATTGAAAACATGTATAGCTTAAGAGGGCTAATAATATTGACCTTAAAATGGTTTAAAGAAATTTAAAAACTGCTTTTACTCTGGACAAAATAAAACAAATAAGACTTTCTCAACAAGAAAAAGTATTATCGGGAAATACTGCGAAAAATTCCTTGCTCTGATAAACATTATTTGGGAAATATTTGAAAAAGAAAAAAAATCTCTCAGGAGGGTGAATACTTTTGAATTCAACTGTACATATTATTGTACTTATCGATGCATATCAGATGCTGTTTGTTATAATATTCTATAGTATTCTAAGGGAATGTTTTTTATTGCTTTTTTGAATGCATTGAAAATCTACTGCCATCTACTTATATCTAAGGTGTCATCTTTTATCTTAAATGTATATTTTGATTATCATATTTGTTAAAAATGAAAAATCTTAGCACCTCCGGTTCACGTTTGTTTTAACTAAGGGGAAATTTGGTACAAACATAACAAATATAAATAAAGAGAATGAGCAATGCAAATCTCTCAGAAAAGAGCGAAACCACAAATTCAGCTTAAACAGGGTGTCCGCGGGGTCTTAAAAAGTATTAAAAGTTCCATTATGAGAAAATTAAGGCCCTTAAAAGGTATTAAAAAGTCTTGTGTTTTATGTAGTTTTAAATTTTGTTCCAGCCTTGTCCAAAGTGTTAGACTCCAAAAAAGCATAAATATATTTATTTTCCTCCTAATAATAACAACGGTGTGCTCAATCCACGCGATTGGTTTGGGCTGGGCCGTGTCTGGCCAAGCTCAACCGTCTGGGTGATGTCACGCAATTTGCGAGAAACACAGGAAGGTGATGTGACTCTCTCCACATGTAGCGAAACCATAGAGCGAAACAGACGGCAAAATGGGAAAATGTACGTTTGCGTAATCCTGGTTAGAGAAAGTTGAGTTTAAATAGTGGCTGAATCCTGTCGCTGAAAACAACCTCGTTCTTTCAAGTTTGTTTCTTCCGAGCTCATCTGAGTTCTGTTGCATGGTTGTGCTCCATTGATTTATTTAACTACAACTGTTTATTAACAACTGTTTATTAAGTTAAAGGTTTGATACTGATTAGAACTTGAAGTGGCAATCTTGAAATATGGTCTTAAAACATTCTGAGAAGGTCTTTAAAAAGTCTTAAAAAGGTATTGAAATTTCCATTAGGATTCCTGCTTGTACCCTGTTAAATATAAACAATACATTTTGTATGTTTCATTTCTGCATACTATGACAAAGATACTCAGAGATTTGAGACCCACTTGATAACCATTTGTAGCTTTTGTCTTCAAGCCAGCAATCCAGAACCAACAGCCAACCTCCATGTTTTTTCCCATTTTTCAAATGGAGCCCAATCTACGCTTAAAACATCCAGTGATTGTGCTTCCCATGGACATCATGCTATAATAATAATAATAATTCCTTACATTTTATATAGTGCTTTTCTGGACACTCAAAATGCTTTACACATTTTTGGGTGGAATCTCCTCATCCACCACTAGTGTGCAGCATCCACCTGGATGACACTACGGCAGCCATATTGTGCCAGACCGCACAGCACACACTAGCTAATTGGTGGAGAGGAGACAGAGTGATGAAGCCAATTATGATATGGGGATGGTTAGGAGGCCATGATGGACAGATGCCTAGGTTAAACCCCTACTCAGGACATCCTGGGATTTATAACGACCACAGAGAGTAAGGACCTCGGGTTTAACATCTCATCTGAAAGACAACGCTCACTGAGCAGTAAAGAGTCCCCGTCACAATACAAGGGCATTAGGACACACACAGACCAGCGGTTGAGCGCCCCCTACGGGTCTCACTAACACCACTTCCGGCAGCAACCTAGCTTTCCCATGTGTCTCTCATCCAGGTACAGCCCATGCACAGTTCCGCTTAGCTTCAGTGGACGACCATGTGAGAATTGCCGGCATACAAGCTGATTTTTTTAAAATAATTAACTATTAAGAAAGATAAATGATTATTAAAAACAAAACAATCTTGTATAAAGTGCTGTTTCAAGCACTTTATAAAAAATTTAAGCACTTTTCAATCCTTAAAAACACTTTTAAGTGTTTCCAAGGATTTACGAAGCATGTGGTCTTTGTTTTGTTGTCTTTAGGGCAAAGGCAGAGCTGAAGAAAGAGACGGACCCCTTTAAAAAGCAGGTGCTGGACGGAAGGCAGTTGGCTTTGAAGATCAGCGCAAACTCAGTGTACGGCTTCACCGGGGCTCAGGTCGGCAAACTGCCCTGTCTGGAGATCTCACAGGTCAGCCTCAGCACTCACAGCACTGATAAATACCATCAGATGGCTTGATGCAGACGTTCGTGAGGTTTTATTTCCTACCCTTCTTCTGTAGAGCGTCACAGGCTTTGGCCGGCAGATGATTGAACAGACCAAACAGCTCGTGGAATCAAGATACACACTAGATAATGGCTACCAGGCCGATGCAAAGGTATTTATGGTGGCATCAATAGATGATTTAGACTTCATTTGATTAAACATACAAATACATGGTTGCCTGATAACTGATAATTTGTGTTTTAGGTCATCTATGGAGACACAGACTCTGTGATGGTGAAACTGGGTGTTGCAACTGTGCAGGAAGCAATGAATCAGGGAAAGGAGGCTGCTGAATGGGTCTCCTCCCACTTCGTTCCACCAATTAAATTAGAATTTGAGAAGGTAAGCAAATCAGAATTATACAACAAGATTAATTAATTCATTCATTAACTTTTCAGACACATAGCTGTAACTCGGATAACCTAGGTTACTAATGAAAAGTAGAAGTGATGTGTAAAAAGACAAAGAAAGCAGGGAAAATGAGCCATTTAATCATTCTGTATTAAAGTCATGAGTCCTTTAAGAGTCAACGGTAGAGCGAGCAGAACTACACCAACGCACCATATTTGGTCAAGAGAGAAAGTTACAGTTGAGAAAGTTACAATTGACAAGTTACGGTTGGTATATTAAATGATGCAAAGAGATGATCGAGAGAGAGAGAGACGAGACAGTAACAGAGAGAAATCCAGCCCCTCCACATGCAAGAAATCGCCGATGGATTGCTATCGGATGTGGCGGAGCTTGTAAGCAGATACTGACGCAGATCTGAAGAGATTTTATTAATGATATTACACTTTTTCACTTTGGCTGGGTTTTTGTGTGAGTTGAAGCATCTGTGACGAGTCCCTGATTCACTCTCGAGGAGAAACTTATGTTACGGCGAGCCACCCACGGAACCGACTCACCTGTTAGACTGTGTTTGAGCCACAGGACTGGTAGGAGAGTTCTTTTGATTTGTTTGGACAAACAAGACTCCGACTTATCGCGACCCTCCTGTTTTTCTTCTTTCTTTGCCTTATATCAACGGAAAACACTTACTGGAACTGAACTAAGAGAATCAACAGTTCTCTTGCACGGAATCCTTGATATTGAACTGTGAACGCCAAACGATGAAACGAATCATTTGAACAGCGAAATGATTCATTTGAGCAGTGACATGATTCATTTGAATAGAGTAACGTGTATTTAAACAGTGAGGTAATTCATTTAAATAGTGTAACAGTCCTTTGAATAGTGTGGTGATTCATTTGAACAGAGTAACGATTCTTTGAACAGTGAGGTGATTCATTTGAACAGAGTACTGATTTATTGAGTTAAAAGTGTGAATATTGAATTATAACCTGCATTTTGAGTTGAGTTAGGTTATTTATTATTGATTAATTTCTTTATTTTCTTTTATTGATTACATTTGAGAATACAGAGTATTTTTATCACAATCTATTGCTTTCTTTACTTTGTTTTATACAAAGGGTAACACAGTGTTGTAGTTTTCCAAGATATTTATTTATTTTTATTTTGTACAAGTGTTTGAAACTTCCTGATTGTCTAGATTATACTTTGTTTAAACTGTATATTGAGTTCACGTTCATCTGTGTGGGAAAAAAAGAGAAAATCATTTACTTTTTATTATTACAGTTTATCATTGAACCTATATATAGATACATACATATACATATTGAACAGAAATCTACAAACATAACATTTTCCTAATTATATAAACTATATTGATGAAAGAAACTGGCTGTGTTTGATTATTCACTCACCTGCTGTGATGCTTTTCTCTCTCCAGTAGCCGTTCTTTCTCTCCTGATCAATTGCCCCACATTGAAAAATACACAAGCGCGACAAATCAAATCGTACTTGCTCCAAAGCCATTTAAAAAGTATCATGAATACAATTTTAATGATGTAATTGTTAATTAATCAGTTTTTATAACTTGCGCAACACTGCTTGCTGTGAAATGTAGTCATTATTTTAACACCCTCTCTGTCTCCTTTTCAGGTGTATTACCCGTATCTGTTAATTAATAAAAAGCGGTACGCCGGGCTGTATTTCTCCTCCAGTGCTGAACATCATGATAAGATGGACTGCAAAGGAATAGAGACCGTGAGGCGAGACAACTGCCCTCTAGTGGCCAACCTCATCAACACATGCCTCCAAAACATCCTCATTGACAGGTACAAGCATTGGCACACTCTGAAAAAACCCCACACCACAAACTCAGATACGCAACAGTAGTGACGCACAAACTAGCATGCGTAACAGTGAAAACATGACTCTACAAGACCGATAAAAAGGCTTTTCGAGGGACAACACCTTTCACATATTGTTCCAGCATGCTGAATGATGTGTTTTGTGTTTTCAGAGACCCCGACGGAGCAGTAACTCATGCTAAAGAGGTGATCTCAGACCTTCTGTGCAACCGCATTGACATCAGTCAGCTGGTCATTACTAAGGAGCTCACGCGCACAGCACAGGAGTATGCAGGAAAACAGGCCCACGTCGAACTAGCTGAGAGGTGTGTGTGTGTGTGTGTGTGTGTGTGTACCTTGTTAGCTAAAAATGACAACATGCATAACAGTACATAAAGCACAATATCAACAGTGACAAAAATGAAGGAAAAATTTTTACTAAATAGAAAGAGAGGAGAAAAACCAATAAAAATGAAAAGTGCATTTACAAACCAAAGGTAACTTTAACTGTTTAAATGTTTTAGGTAATTAGGATTATTAGTATTTTTAATTGTTTTTAGAGAACAATTTTATCCTGGGAATATTTTAAAGAAAATGTTAAAAAAGGTGGAATTTTAGAATATTTATCTTTTTATCAAACCTAAAGATTGTATATGGCTCTTATCAGTGTTGATGTTGTTTGTATGTTTATTGTATAACGAATGTTTATTAAGAAACCGTTATGATTGCATGTTATTCACTCACTGGCCACTTTATTAGGTACACCTTACTAGTACAGGCCTGGACTCCCTTTTGCTTTCAGAACTGCCTTAATCCTTCGTATAGATTCAACAAGGTACTGGGAAATTCCTCAGAGATGTTGCTCTATATTGACTCGACAGCATCACGCAGTTGCTGCAGATTTTTCAGCTGCACATATATATTAACCAATACTAATGGGCCCAAAGTATGCCAAGAAAATATCCCCACACCATTACACCACCCTCATCAGCCTGAACCGTTGATACAAGGCAGGATGGATCCATGCTTTCATGTTTTGATTCTAAATTCTGACCCTTCCGTTGAATGTCACAGCAGAAATCGAGACTCATCAGACCAGACAACGTTTTTCCAATCTTCTATTGTCCAATTTTGGTAAGTCTGTGTGAATTGTAGCCTCAGTTTCCTGTTCGTAGCTGACAGGAGTGGCACCCGGTGTGGTCTTTTGCTGCTTTAGCCCATCCGCCTCAAGGTTGGACGTGTTGTGTGTTCAGAGATGCTTTTCTGTATACCTCGGTTGTATCGAGTGGTTATTTGAGTTACTGTTGCCTTTCTATCAGCTCCAACCAGTCTGGCCATTCTCCTCTGACCTCTAGTATCAACAAGGCATTTGTGCCCACAGAACTGCCACTCACTAGATATTTTCTCCTTTTCAGACCATTCTCTGTAAACCCTAGAGGTGGTTGTGCGTGAAAATTCCAGTAGATCAGCAGTTACTGAAATACTCCGACCAACCCGTCTGGCACCAACAGCCATGCCACATTCAAAGTCACTTAAATCACCTTTCTACCCCATTCTGATGCTCGGTATGAACTGCAGCAGATCATCTAAACAATGTCTGCATGCTTAAATGCATTGAGTTTCTGCCATGTGATTGGCTGATTAGAAATATGTGTTAACAATCAAATGGACAGGTGTACCTATAAAAGTGCCGGTGAGTGTATATTTAGTATAGGTTATGCCATGAATGTAGTCAGTGCTGCTGATATGGCATTAAAACAATCAAACAAATAAATAATTCCTTGAGCATATAATAATGTGTGTTTTCAGGATGCGTAAGCGGGATGCCGGTAGTGCTCCAAATCTCGGAGATCGAGTGCCGTACGTCATCATCAAAGCAGCAAAGGGAGTTGCGGCGTATATGAAATCAGAGGTCAGTTTTGTGTGTTTTAATAATTCCGATTTTCTGAGTTGTAGTTTTTAATGTTGTTTTATGCATTTTAGGACCCCATCTATGTGCTGGAGAACAACATCCCTATAGACACGCAGTACTACCTGGAGCAGCAGCTCTCCAAACCATTACTGCGCATCTTCGAGCCCATTCTGGGGGAGAGCAAAGCTGAGAGTGTGTTACTGAGTGAGTATTGTCCGTTAAAAGGATAGTTCACTCAAAAAACCAACAATAATAATTTGTTCCTTCTTTAATTCCTTATAGGGCCATTTAAAAATTAAGGTGGCTTTATTCTCTTCAGGCAACAATTAAAGTAGATTTTTTGCTGAAATCATGATCCTTGGTGATTAATAAAAAGGCTAGTAGTCAAAAAACGTACACGGGCAAAACAAAATTTAAATGTTTCTTTTGTGTGAAGTGATTGCACAGTGTACCATAATAGACCGAAGATTAATTGTTTGCATGTGTTTTTAAGGTTGTGACTAATAGGGCTGTGCGGTTAATTGAAATCGTATCGAAATTGTGACTTGAACGTGCAATTTCTATATCGCCTTTCAGCACTATTTTTCTGCATTATGCTATTTGAAAAAAACATTATGCAGTACGCCTAAACCAAAAGTGTCCACACTCGGCCCTGAAGGGCCGGTGTTCTGGAGAGTTTAGCTCCAACCCTCATCAAACACACCTAAACCAGCTAATTAAGCCCTTACAAGATATACTAGAAACTTCCTGGCAGGTGTGTTGAAGCAAGTTGGAGCTAAACTATGCAGGACACCGGCCCTCCAGGACTGTGTTTGGACACTTCTGGCCGAAACAAAGCTCGAGAACAGGAGACTAAATAGCCTGCATAAACAGGGATGATGAGTTTAGCATACTCGTTTATACTTGTTTTAACATAATTTATTCATAACAAATGTATAGGCCACTTAGAAGTTGGAACAGAGGAATAAAATATGTCCTCTGTAACATCTTAACATCTCAGCACTCTTAATAGGCCTGGTTACATACACTTAGTCTTCAAATTGACCAACACGGCAATAAAAATAAGTCTTTCTTAGCTAATTAAATAAAAATAAATGATAAATTATCACAGGTATTTTTGAATAACGAAATTAAGATAAAGGCTCTCTAGAATTTGTTTTGCCTCTACTCTTTACAATCTGGTATTAAGGTGACGGTGAAGCTGAATATTAAAAGAATAATGCCAACATTAGCCTATTTATGCCAACTCTATCTACATTACGATTTTATGGTTGAATTAATATTTTGTTATACTTAGAAAATCCTTTACTCAGCCATATCACCCTGCAGCCCAAGACCGGTTACTCACTGAAGCTAAGCAAGGCTTAGCTTGGTCAGTACCTGGATGGGAGACCACATGGGGAAACTAGGTTGCTGTTGGCAGCGGTGTTAGAGACCTGTGGTCTGTGTGAGTCCTAATACCCCACTCCGTGGGCGCCGTCTTTCGTATGAGATGTTAAACTGCGGTCCTGACTCTCTGTGGTCATTAAAAATTCCATGACACTTCTCGTAGAGAGTAGAGATTTAACCCCAGTGTCCTGGCCAAAGTCCCTCATTCGGCCCTTACCCATCATGCCCTTCTAATCATCCCCATTCACCAAATTAGCTCTATCACTGTCTCTTCACTCCACCAATAGCTGGTGTGTGGTGTGCGTACTTGCTGCCGTTGCATCATCCAAGTGGATGCTGCACACTGGTGGTGGTGTGGACAGACCTTCCTCATGATTGTGAAGTGCTTTGGGTGTGTGGCCATACACCATAAATGCACTATATAAATACATTTTGTGGAGGAACATTATTGAATCCACTGTAGATGGCTTTAACGCAATCCTCCGCTCACTGAGCAACACTGAACACCCTTTCACTTCTGCTGCTGCTGGCAGGGATGCATACTGTTCTGGCTAATTTTGCATGTTTTGGGTAGCATTGTTTGTTCATCTTCCACCAGCCAAAAACATTCATTTAATTTTCCATGACAGGGGTTCACAATGTAGGGAGTGACCTCGTCATCTTTCCTGTCAGCTTTCTGTACATTGCTGTTTAGCACTCTAACATAATAGGATAAAAAATCGACCGCCGAAATACCTTGGCGGCTAGAATGACTGTTCTTTTTGAACTGGCGGCTGGCATCACCGCGTAAAAATACACCCTTTTTTTGACTTCTCAATCATCATTCGGTTCACTTTTGCAGGGATGGATTTTAATGTTGTAACAAACGATTTGATTACTTTCTCACGCTAATGGATATGCATCACATGAGTGTTTATTTATTGCGCAAGCCTGGCCCGACCCTGTCTAAAATGATTGAAATTAAACCCGTCGGGTTCGGGCAAGGATCTTCAGCTCTATCGCACACCCCTAGTGACTAAGTATTTCAAGCTTGGATTATTTATTGGATTATTCTGAATACTGCTATGCTGGGTATACTCACAGGATGTTTTGCGCTTCGCTTAAATTTTTTAATTATAAGGTTATATGTTTATTTGAATTTATTTACAAAGTAAACTAATAATTCTTATTTAAATAGAAAGCCTAAGTTAATATTGAATAATTTTGTGCAACTTATTTTAGCCAATGGGGGGGGGAAGCACCCCTCCAAGCTCCGCCCATGGTGTGAAGCCAAATTTAGACTCCTCAGAAAACTATAAATTGCTTTGTATATTTTTTTTCTCTTTTGTGTTTACCAATGTTTCTTATATTTATGCAGATTCATTCCCATAGAAAATCATCCCAATCAATCTAAATCTTTCCAAATAGAGCTGTTGAAGTCATCGGGTTAAATTATATTCATACGTATCGCAGAAAAACTCAGTATCGCAATGTCAGTTTATTTTTTTCCAATATCATGCAACCCTATTGCAAACTCTTACCTGTTTTTGCTCGGTGTTGTTTCAGAGGGAGATCACACCCGCTGTAAGACGGTCTTGACCTCCCGAGTCGGTGGTCTCATGGCTTTCGCTCAGAAACGAAGCACTTGCATCGGCTGCAGAGCTGTGCTGAAAACCGATGGTGTGTATCTAGTGTGTGTGTGTTTGTTGAGGAAATCGGCAGTACTCTATAGCCTAACCCTGTTCCCGGAGGCACACCAATAGTGAATATTTTGGATGTCTCCCTTATCTGCCCCATTCATTTCAGGTTTTTAATTTCCCTTTAATGTTCTGATGATGTTTAAATAGGAAGAGGTTGAAAATGTGTACTGTTGGTGTGCTTTCAGGAACAGGGTTGGGAAACTCTGCTCTGTAGTACTACGTTATTGTCATTTATTTAATTTGTTTTCTTCACAGTGGCTGTATGCGACTTCTGCAAAAAGAGAGAATCTGAGCTCTATCAAAAGGAGGTTTGCTTTGTTCATTTTGTGTTTACATTTCATGATTTTCTTTCTTTTTATTATCTTGGCTTAGATTTTTTATGCACGTATCCTTGTATATTTTTTCCTCATATTTTGTATATGTAAGCAAAGCACTTTGTGATGCTACTTTTAAAGGCACTCTAAATAAGTTTATTATTATTAATAAATGTACAAATGTTGTGTAATTGTGTTTTTGGTGATCGTTGTTGGCGTGTTTCTTTTAGATTGCTCATCTGTCGACACTAGAGGAGAAATTCTCTCGCCTGTGGACTCAGTGTCAGCGCTGTCAGGGTTCACTTCATGAAGACGTGCTTTGCACCAGGTATTTATACATGTTCATGCAAGACTTGGAAAATATATGATATATTTACAGTAGGGCTGCACGACATATCATTTATATAAAACAATATAGAAATGTGAAAAGCTGCAACAGTAGAGTCGCGATTAAAGATTAATTTAATTCAAGTTTAAATGCTTTAGGTACAAGTAATTATAACATTTGTAGTCTTAAAGATTGTGTTTGTTTGTACTATGAGGATTATTACATTGCCTTACAATAATTCACCTGTTGAAATTGTATCCATATCGCAATGCAATATTACAGAAAATCTAAATATCTTAACGTTAGTGTTTTCCCAAATTGTGCCTAATATACTGTATATTTGAATAATTTTAAAATATTTTTGATTAAAATCTGTTTTTCAGTCGAGATTGCCCCATCTTCTACATGAGGAAGAAGGTGCAGAAAGATTTAGACGATCAGGAGAAGCTCGTCTCCCGTTTCGGCTGGTGATCAATGACCATTTTTTTCCTTCTCAACATTCATTTCTCGACGTCTTCTTACCTCAAAGATGGAGTCTGTCAAACTCCAGATTGTAAAGAATCTTCATTTTGTAGTGGCTGAATAAATAAGTGCATTTTTGTAAATTGACTGTCATCTTTTGGTTGTCATTTCTATTTACTCCAATAGAAGCTTTTATCCAAGAGCAACTTACAAATGGGGAAAACATGTACGTTATTCATCATAAAGACACAAATAAACACAAGAAGTCCTCGTAATGCAACATTTTTAAACATTAGAATTGTTAGATTAAGGAAAAGTAAAAGCATATTAGCTTTTGCTTTGGCGTTCCAAATGTAGTGGGGTGGGATTATTCCACCAGTGAGGAACAGTGAAAGAAAAAGTTCTGGAAAAGGACTTTTGTAATGTTACCATGAGGTATAATGATCATTTGCTGACCACAGGCTTCTGGATAGGATATTTATGTTACAGTATTCTTGATGTAGACATGTAAAAATGTAATTTGAAGTAGGTGTGGAGCCTCAAGGTTTGTCTTTTTGTTTGTTATAATCAAAATCTATCTTTAACCATTTTAAATGCTGCGTCCCAAATTGCATACTCTCCATCCTAAATAGTATTTGAAAATAGAATTAGTATGTCCCAAATCGTGATATGTTTTAGAGTATGCCAAAGGTTCCTGAATGGTTTACTATTTCTGGAGAAAAGATTTAGTGTAGAACATAATAGCTGTGTCTCGTTTCAGAGGCTGCATCCTCCGAAGGATGCATTTGAAGTGCGCTGCGTCATCGCGGCGCAATAAAGGCTGTCTCATTTAAAACAGAAAATTAGACGGCTCCCTCAAACGCAGCCTTAAAATGCGCCTTCATTTTGCAGGTAATGAAGGACATAACCAGTGGATCCTTCGGGTGAAGTCGAGATCAGATACGTGGCCGGCTGGAAGTGCGATATGCACATTAATATAGCAGCTTTTTTTTTATGACACTGTATATCAATAATTAATATTTTAACAGTACTGTGACGGTTGGGTTTAGGGTTGGGGTGGCGGTAGATGTGGATAAAATACAATAAATGGAAAATTAAAAAAATAATACGAATAATTCTTGTTAACCTTCAACCGCAACCATTTCCGATCTAGCAGCCTCGAACGTCCCAAAGATTCATTGCGCACTGATAATGGCAGGACATTTTTAAAAGAGAACTCCGGTTTAAATGTATGAATTAAGTTTATTTTAATTGGATATCTAAACACATGTTAAAAAACAAAAATAGTATGATGTCTTTCTAAAAAGTGATTTTATAAACAGTTTACATGTGTACATGCATGGATCAAAGGAAATATATTTCCAGCTTCTGTGTACCTTGTTTTGCCTTCAGATCGCTTAAAATAAGTTTTAAAATCACTTTTAAAAAATTATTACCAATTTTATCAGCGCTTATTAACAGCAGCTGTTGCCTGTTGAGATCTGTCCTGTAGGCTTGATCTTCTCATTTCAAAAACGCTCGGTTCAGCCTGTGTGGACTTCGAAGGACTCACCTTTGCCTCTGAAATGACACACAGCTACTCTAATCGTTCATATTGGCCACAGTACATTGGCTCGTTGGATATGAATTTGATCAGAACTACAAACGCGGGTGAAAAGTGTAAATAAACTACAAACATGGCGGACGCGCGAGACCAACCGTCAAGTAGAGAGGCTTGGGTAAAGATGTTTGTTTGACTGTTAATCAATATCTAGTCAACTGGAACTTGTTTAAACCGCGTTGTATGTGTTGTATTTAATCTGCAGCAACAATACTGAACTCGCTTAAAGACGTGCTTTGATATTAACCGCTGAACGCAGAATTATCCAAACTTCTGAGGAGATTTCTTTGCATGAAAGACTAACGTTAGTGAATGGGAGATCTGCTGCTTCTCCAGTAAGGTTGGTAATTAAATATGAAAGAAATGTATATGATCTTTGGTTGATTAAGATGGTTCATAAGTAACACAACGATCTGGTAATAAAGAAGTACATACCTTACTCAAACGTATACCTTCACAAAGTACATTATTTTAGGAGATAGTTTAAGTACGAGAATTTGAAAGCAGCAAAAGTGTCCGGTTTAAAACGTTGAAAATAATCCCATGATTTATTTGCTCTTAAGCGTCAAGACATTTTAGGATCAAGCTCTACAATGGTGACAGGCATTCATCCATCCAACAGTCCATTCATTTTCTTGTCGGCTTAGTCCCTTTATTTATCCTTTATTAATTCGCCACAGCGGAATGAACCGCCAACTTATCCAGCAAGTTTTTTACGCAGCGGATGCCCTTCCAGCCGCAACCCATCTCTGGGAAACATCCACACACACACATTCACACACACACACACACACACACACACACACACACTCATACACTATGGACAATTTAACCTACCCAATTCACCTATACCACATGTCTTTGGACTGTGGGGGAAACCAGAACACCCGGAGGAAACCCACGCGAAGGCAGGGAGAACATGACAAACTCCACACAGAAACGCCAACTGAGCCGAGGCTCGAACCAGCGACCTTCTTGCTGTGTGGTGACAGCACTACCTACTGCGCCACTGCCTCGCCGTTCAACAGTCCAAAAAAAGTTTAATAAAGTGCATCCATGCGTATTACAAGTGCCTCAGACAGCTCTAGAAGGTAAATGTCACCTGTAGCGATTTTCTTTCTTTTTTGAAGAAGGAGTTCATATTTAAAGCTTTATAAGTGGCTTTGTGATACTTTTGATTCCCCCACATACTGCATTCACACACAAATTGGTTTCAACCATTACACTGATATGCCCAACATATATTTCACAATGGATATTAGTGGCTACCAGCTTCCAACATTCTTCAAAGTATCCTATTTTGTGTTCAGTAGGTGTACTAAATGATTAAAAATTTGTTCTTTTGTGAACAATCCCTTTAAACCAGGGGTTCCCAAACTTTTCAGCCTGCGACCCCCTAAATAACAATGCCAGTGACTTGTGACCCCCACATTCCTCTGAGGTAGTTATACAAATGTTGCACACACAACAACAGGCCTATATAAAAAGTTTAACCTGGTGCTATAAAATCTACCCACTATTTTTATCTTCTGTAGGTTATGGATAAAATATGGTCATTCTAATAGTTTAATCAAATTTATTTGACTTTTGGAAATGACTAAGCAACCCCCACTTTGGGAACCAGGTAGGTTTTCAACCTACGCTGTAAAACCCAATAAGTTAAGGTAACTTAAACCATTTTAAAAAACCGATTGCATCAAACCATTTAAGTTCAAAACTAATCTTAATGAGTACTGTGAACTTAATCCATTTGAGTAAATGAAGCAATTTAAGCACAGTAAAACCCAATAAATGAAGAGAACTCAAACCAACTGAGTACTGTAAAACCCAATAAGTTAAGGCAACTTAAATCGTTTGAGGAAACTGATTACTACAAACCATTTCAGTAAAAAAAAACTAATCTATATATTAGTTACTAACCTATAGTTAGTAACTTTCATAATTAAAAAGTGATATAAAGGACACACTGTACACAAACATGTAAATAGATAGATGGATAGATAGCCATGATGCAGGTTATCATAACAAAAACCGGTATAATCGGTGAGAAACTGAAACGCCTAGTGTTATTTTTAATTGCTATTAATGTGTGTGTAAATATACTTCAATTTATAAAAGTTCATGCTAGTTAATACTACAGTGTGCTGTTGCATTCATTAACAAAGTTGTAGATACTGCAGTATATACAATATAATACAGTTTACTATAGTTAGTATGGTTCAAAAACGTAATATTATTTACTATAAATACTATTACAACTTATTTCATGTGGGTTGAATCGTATCTTTAGAACCATATAACATGATTGAAAGCAGCTCCTAGATAACTCATAACTGTTTTCTTATATAAGAAACAAACAAGAGAAGCACCTAGCACAGTCCTTAGCTTAGCTAACAGTATTGAACATATAGATAATTATTAAAAATCATAACTTACCCTCTGATTGCTCGAGGCCTCCAACAACGTGAGCTGCCCTGTGTCCTGACAAACAGAAACGCCCCATCTCATTGGCTGGCTCTAGCCAATAAACTGGCTTTGCTGCTCTTTTACTGGTATGTACATTTCCGCAAAATTAATGATTTTTAACAAGAATCTCTTCCAGAAAAGAGTTGAAATAAACCCTAAATAATAAAATAATCGTGGGAAATGATTCTTTTGCACCTCAGTCCTGTTGGCTGCTGGCATTGTTCATTGGTCAGGCATCAGCCAATCAAACAGCTTTACACCTGCCCCGCCCCTCCCCCGCCCCGCGCTGCTCACGCCTCTGCATCTGCAAGTGCACAGATGGGTTCTGCTACAGAGATCGCGGGAGATGTGTAGCAAAAGTCAGAGCGCGGGAGATTTGTAGTTGTACTGACAAAACTGAGAGGTTGTGAGTGCCGACCTGTGGTTGTAGAGATAAGATGCAATCAAATTTGCCGTGCACACGTGTGTCTGTCATTTTGTATTTGTAAATGACATTTTACAAATACACAACTATTAATCTGCAACTTCCAATTTAAAACACAAGTGTGTGGATTGTTGTGTGTGTGCGCAAATCGAGGGATTCAGCTGTTCACATCAGAGCTGTGAGTGTACATTTCAACCTACACATACAAATATTATTATCACAAGTGCTCACATTTACATTTGCAAGCTCTCGAGTTACGCAACTGATTTACCTTCATAATAAAGCTTCAAAAATTGCAACGAATGAACACTTTAAAGAAACAATGTACAAATAAAATAAAAATGAAAATAAAACATTCACTTAAAACATTTCAAAATATCCCAAAAGTCCAGTACAGGTGATAAACTTTCAAAAAGATTTTTTTTTTTTTTTGCAAAACAACTAGGTTGCAAATTCAGTTCCAGAGATCCAGGATGTTGCACTTGTGAGTGTGTTGTAAATTTACACTCTTACCATGACGCTGAATAGGTTGTACTTTGTATCTTTCCAACAGGTGTATTCAAATAATCCACTTAATGGGAGGCTCGCCAGTCCAACTCCACAATTAGACATGCACCGATGGAAGTTGAGACAATCCAAATCCAGAAAAGAGT